TCGGTACCGAGAAAAAAGTGGATAGAGGTTGGTTAGGAACAGAAAGCAGATGTTATTGGTGGGCACCGAAATGGGCGGAGTTGTAACGGGATTGATAAATCCAAAGTACAGTGAGAAAGCAGACGATGGCTGAACGCGATGGGGAGATGGGGAAGGGCATAGCCAATTCAGTGGGTGGGGCGTATGCGAAGAGGGTAGGGCTAAAATCCAAAATCGCCACATGGTCCAGAGATAGCACTGATACCGAAAAGAATGTGGGTAGAATTCAGCCTGAAGAGCTGGTCAAGTTCGTTGTGGATCGGGCTAAGTTTGGAATGCTGCTCGCACTGCTCCATTGTGCTGCAGAACTGTGTGTTGTGCCCGTAAAAGCGCACAGCACGACCGATTCCGTGATAAATGTCTGTCGAAAAACGAATGTGTCGCAGTACGGCACAGAAAATCATGGAGAAAAAATCCGTGTATTTTATCATGGCTAAAAAAAGTATTTAGATAAAATTACCGTTGAAGCTTTCCCACCAGTGGTTATGCGGTTACGAGAGCCACTCAAATCAAGTGAGTCTCAATCATTAATTTTGCTCGAATCTTTGTTTATTTGTTAGAAGTATAGTTTCTCAGGTAACAAACTGCTCGCTTTCCACATCAGCTCAGGATAGATGCTTTGCGTTTGCCTTGTAGAACCAGTATGTAGACCGCCCAGCCTAAAACAACTCGACCCATCCCTTTGTTTTGTCATAACTCATCAAGCAATCGGAATTACTCTAGCCCTTAAAAAAAGCTAAAACTTCAAACATTCTATTCACCATACTAAGGAATGAAATATGCAAGTTATTTAATTTCCCTGCGGAATCAGACAAAAACTTTACCGTCGCGCCAGTGTTCGGCGCTACCATACGGGGGTATGATAAGGACTGAGCTTCAGGTGGGGCAGGAATTTCGGGTAAAAAGAAAATTGCTGGCGTGCCTTGAATTTCTTTCCCTGTCCAAAGCTTAGCCCCGATTTTGACAAAAACATGGTTTAAAGGCAAACCCCGGGATCAGCCCGAACAGCAGGAGGGATACCACGAAGGAAATTGTAAGACCTACCTAGATCACTCCAGCTTCGTCGCTAAAATTGCGCGGTTAGGGCGCTAATCCTTACGGGCCCGCAACCATCGACCCCGATTCCAACGCCCCCACCGCGCGAGAGGTGGTGAGATCAGCGTGCATTGATGTAGAGATCAGCGTGCTCTCTCAAACGACGTGCTCTCTCGCGTATTTTGTCTTCTTTGACCGCCCTGTCTCGCCATCGTACCACATCCGACCTTACTGAAGGTTAAGGGCCTTAGTTTCAGCGTTCTCAAAGACTTCTCTTGCTTTCCTTCCCATTTTCAATGTCTTTCGCAGCTAAGCTCACCACGAAGCGCTAATAGCAACAGTTTCATCCCGGGGTTTACCTTTAAGCGGTTCAGGATGCATGGTCACCACAATGCCCAGGTATCTTGCGAGAGCGCCCAGTCTTCTAAATAGTTTTCCACGTTTCACCTTGGCAGGGGCAAACATCAGTGGTCTCACCGCTTTGGAGATACCGTCTTGTCATTCTGGCCGGCACTTGAAGGACCCCTGACACATATTCTCTTTGCGACAGCTCGAGAACACAACACTCCTCGACCTAGAGCATGATGTGCATATGAGTTTGATGAGCTGTACGAGCTTCCATTAGAGCAAATGCAATTTCATATTTTCAATTCTTCAACGCCTTTCACCAGCATCTGCTTTAGAAAACCTCACTTCTTCGAAGAAAAATACCCCAAACAACAGGTAGGTTAATTCCAGTTTTTTCTTTAAAATAACGCTACTTCGGCGCTCATTACGAATCTCATTATGGCACGGGTTCTCTAAGATAATGGGTACGCTGATGTGGTCGCCATCTGGAAATAGAAGCAGAGGTGCTATGTAGTGCTAAAGTCAAGAAAAATCAAAAATGGTAAAATATTGGTGAAATGAGGCTCATTCTCCCCTTGCTTCAGCACTTCGGGCGAGATTCGGATGAGCCGGAATAATCTCGACGAGGTTATCCTTACACAGTTCGCATTACACCAACATACTTCTCTTGGTATGACACTCAGTGAGCGAAATATCAGAAAAAAATCAAAAAATTAGTGAGCGAACTGCCGGAAATTTTGAAAGCTTTGAATGACCTGTTTTCTAACTAAATGACGAACAATATTGATGGAGGTCAGCATAAGAACCCATCTGTTATCAAAGGTATGATCCAAACGTTATCAAGTATTATAGTATCAAGAACATTCAGCGGCGTTGTTGAGTTGGGACCATCTATTGGATGCCCTTTCACCAATAACGTTCAATGTCGTCAAAAGCAACGCTCTCCAGCCATCGTGATCATTGTAGAAGCGTTTGGGTGGAAGTGAAGATTAGAGGCAGAACTGAAAATCTACGATGTGGTCATTCCTATAGCCGCTCCGCCTTTTTCACCGAAAACCTCATCACCTGTTTAACGTACCTTCCTTTCTACTAAATAAATATGTTAATGCAAAATTAATAGATAAATTAATCTATCCACTGCTCTCAGACAGACGCCAATTATTCCTTTGCGATCTGTAGGAACTGCGGAAATTATCACTTTCTTACACCTTCTAATAAATCGTTCTTTTCAGGGGACAGCATCCTCACAGAGAAAGGTCACTTTGTCATTCACAAGGAGGCAGGAGAAGAGGATTTTGTGGAGGTATTCTTATATTGTGGGCGAAAGTGGCGTAGTGGCGAGAAGTGGCACGCTTACCACGCGACCGGTCCGGAGATCAAATCCTGAGTCGTGAGTCGCCCGGGCCAACCAAGGCTTCCATCCCTCCCGGGTCGGTTCAATTAAGGGATTGAACAGCGGAAAATGCTTTATCATTTGTCCCTTATCTTATATGTAGGCGTTCATGTTTACGACCTTCAACCTTTCCATGGTAGTGATTTGAGGGGTTCTTAAAAGTATCGTTCCCTGCGAACTCTGCAAGATTTTGTTTTTAGTTGCCAAAGATTGCTCAAGCATGTAAATTGCAGGACCATCAATACTCGCCAGCACCAATAAAAGATAATAACAAGAAATCGGCCGTTAGCAACGAAATTTACTTCTTAAAAATAATTATTAATATTAATGATGTTTGGAAGAATTCAAGAAGATAGGTTGAAGCGATATTATGCACAATCAAATCGGTTTCTTATTTATATCCATATTTATGCCATTTATAAATTAGCATTGTGACTTTTATGACTTGAGTATATGTACATAACTGATGACTTAGATCCTAATTATAAATTGGACAAAATAAATGTTTGAAAAAGGTTTTTTCAAATGTAAAGCATAATCGCGATGCTACCAAGGTCAGCATTCGAACATCAGGAATTCCAAGTAAGTGAGTGGCAGCGCGATTCTACCCTGTCCCACCCCCCCCCTCCAACCCCGATAAAATGGCACATCATGTATAAAACTACTTGGATTCATTGCAAGGTAAAAAAATGACATAGTTGGTAATGATTGCTCCCATAGTCAATTTCAAAATGCTCAACAAAAATTACTAAGAATTCTCGAAATAGCACAGGCGTTCGTGCTTATCGAGACGCATTAGAACCCTTATAGGGGCCTCAAGTGTCCCTCTAGTGGCACTTCAATAACGGCAACAAAGGGCTAACATTGAGTCATCAAGCTAGTAGGATCCCTAATCACATGGGTAGCAGCGCGTTTAAGCTATGCGGCAAAGACGTTAAAGGCAGCCCCAAGCCAATTGCAGCATACATAAGATCTGCGATTTCTCGCCTACGATGTGCTTTCTTGCATTTTCCCTCTCCTCGCAGTGCAGTGTCTCTCCGTTGTACCACTGTCTAACTCACAAGAGAAATTTGAACGTTTTCCATGATCCCTTCTGCTTTTCTCCCCCATCGCAGTTCTTGTCCAACTTCCTGATAAAATCACACACCCGCTCGATCGGGTTCCATGCCTTTGCATTACCCCTTCATCTTAAAGCAACAGTCCCAGCAGGGTTTTTACCTTCGACACTAATGGTGTGGAACGATGCGCTAGCCCTAGTCAAGAACATAAGAAGTGTGACTGAACAAAAAACTCACCTTGGAAAGCCGCGAAAGGGAGTTGAACGCCTTCGAAGTGGGCGTGGCGGCCACCGATCGCAAGCCCCTCTTGCCAGCCGTGGAGATCGCGTGATTGGCTGCGGAGGCATTTGCGATTATGGATCAAGTTCAAAGTTGGTCCCAAAACGATCAGTCCAAATAGTTCCTGTGGTCCCAAAACGATCGCAAATGCCTCCGCAGCCAATCACGCGATCTCCACGGCTGGCAAGAGGGGCTTACGATCGGTGGCCGACACGCCCACTTCGAAGGCGTTCAACTCCCTTTCGCGGCTTTCCAAGGTGATTTTTTGTTCAGTCACACTTCTTATGTTCTTGACTAGGGCTAGCGCATCGTTCCACACCATTAGTGTCGAAGGTAAGAACCCTGCTGGGACTGTTGTTTTAATGGCCCGCGTCCGATCTTCATCAGGTCGTTGCGCTTCATTGGTGGATCAGATTCCTCAGCTCTCCAAAGGCGTGATTGAAAGCACCTCCTCACGTTTTTCCACTGATCGAAGCCACACCCATTCCCTTTTACATCTCGAAGCTATTCTTTTAAACTTCTTTTGCTCACTTATCAATGCAGTGCCCTCTAAAATGTAGTCATCGTTTTGGGAGGGCAATATGAGAAGGGAATTTGATTCCAGCATTCTATTCGAACTTGAGCGAATCGAAGCGCCCTGCGTGATCTCTCAATTTGAACTTTTCCGCTAAAAATCTTTATTTCGACACTGTAGCAATTTTAGCCAGTGCACAAAAAATATCTTTAAAAAAGCAATTTTGAAGGCCACAGTAGTGTTGTAGGGTGTTTTCATAAAGAAGTAAGCACTGAATTAAATCTGTGGTTGAAGTCAAAATTGAATAACTAGCTTTCAGTCACTGTTAAGTTTAGCGAGTTACATCTGCTATGATAGTGATTGTGTTGGCATCAACATCGCTGCCACACAGCTCGGCCAAGGTTTTGTCTAAATCGGTGTCCTTCAATGGATAGGTACTGTTGCGTTCGCGACCAAGTGCGTATCCAAGACGTGGAGCAAACACACCGCTGAAACATTAAATAAATAATAAATACCTCTCATATTCACTCTATTCCCCCCCGCCCACCTTCCAGTGCATGAAACGTAATGCTCAGATCTTGCTGTAATTGCAACGAACTTGACGCTAAAGCAAAACGATAAACTGGGCTATGAACTAACCGATGAACGCCGTCGGTTTCGATCCGGAAGTGGTCGATAACTTCTCGAACTGTAACGCAGCATGGAAACTCGTCCTTGATCCTCAGTTGTGCTCTTAGGTAAAGATAATTGCTTACAGGTAAAACCCTTGGAGCCAAATCCTGGGACTCACCTTCCGTCAGTTACATGATAAAGGACGATCGCACTTCCCACCGATGCATATGCTAACTCTGCTTCCGAAGTGTGTACTCTAGGGTTATAAGACGAAAATGATTTCACGAAGGAATTATCGGCAGGAGGTAGGATCCGGGTTTGGCATCACCGAAGGAGTCCCTCCCGTGGGCAGAGGTGGGTGGTCCGTAATGGTCCGTAACTGCAAAAGGTCGCGCCATCCTCGCACCTCGGAACGCGTCACTAAGACGCTAGGCTTGCGGAACTTTGACCAAATCCCACCCCCCATTCGATACCTTCTCTGCGTCACAGGTTGGTCTAGGGCCTTATGCTATCGTTCTCGAACCAAGCCAAGTGCCAAACTTTTCTTCAATTGTTACTTTCTATCGGAAAGCTTTTTTTTTTTATTTTTATGCATGTTTACTTTTAACTAAATATTGGGTTGTCTCATAATTCCTGTCGCATTTCTATTCAATTTCAAATTCCTTCCGTCTAAGACCGTTTCATTGCGAAATACGTTAGTATGTTGAAGTATGCTTCAAGTGCCTTAACAGCGTGGTTTCGGAAGCGCAAGCCCTTAACGGGTTAATCAACTAGTAATAAAAATAGGTCAGTGACTGCAATCAATGATTATGCTTTTAC